AGGTTTTGGGGTACATGTGAAGAACATGCAAGATTGTTGCATAGGTACACACGTGGCAGTGTGATTTGCTGCCTTCCTCCCCATCACCTACATCTGGCATCTCTCCCCTTGCTATCTCTCCCCAACTCCCCAGGCTGCTCCTTTTTAAGGTGTGTGGGTCTCAAGGTGGGTGTGCCACCTTCCCCAGCTTCACCCAGCAAATTTCTGGTGGTGGTCTTTGCTTAGGCACAGGAATCACGGTGATCTCTCAGGGATATGTGACACCAGGGTGTCTCCTTAGCCATCTCTGGGATCCCAAGTACCAGAGAGTTGTGTATTTGCGTAGTGCTATCACATGACCCATCCAGTCGGCTGTGTCAGTTTTCCCTCACCACTTTGTTGTGAGGAGAACAGAGCAGGAATTCTTTTCCCAGTTTGAGGGGAAGCTACGGAAGCCCTGAGTGGGAAGGGCTTGCCTAAGTCTAGAGTGGTAAGCACTGAAATCGTCTCACAGTGCTGTGCTATTTCCACAGTATCTGACCTGACAAGGGCCATCTGGGTTCTGCTGCAAACCTCCAGGGAGAGAAGCTCTGTGCCCTGCCAGACAGCCTTAATGGTAGAACATTTCCTCCTTAGAGTGAGCAAGAAATCCTCTCCCTGGCCCTCCCACCCTCCATCTGACCCTTCATGAGACAGTCCTCTCAAGACAACCATTGGCTTTCTCACAGGGGCACCAGGATGCCGGCACTCAGCAGGTATCAGGCTACTGAGCCAGGACCAATGATGGACTTAACCAGACTGTGGGTGTGTAGTATTTTTTTTTTTTTTGACATGAAGTCTTGCTTTGTTGCCCAGGCTGGAGTGCGGTGGCGGGATTTTGGCTCACTGCAACCTCCCCCTCCTGGGTTCAAGCGATTCTTCTGCCTCAGCCTCCTGAGTAGTTGGGATTACAGGCACACGCCATCACGCCCAGCTAATTTTTCTATTTTTAGTAAAGACAGGGTTTCACCAGACTGGTCAGACTGGTCTCGAACTCCTGACCTTGTGATACACCTGGCTCAGCCTCCCAAAGTGCTGGGATTACAGGCATGAGTCACCGCGCCTGGCCAATGTGTGTATTTTAACTCTATTTATTTATTTCCTTCTTTATTCCAAATGAATTGTAGCTGGCTAACCAAAAATTACATTTCACAGACATTGTTTAGTGATTGTTAATCTTTCCTCTTTGGCCTGGATGAGATGAGTTTCTGGGTCTCTACTGTGGGGTTAGGGAGAGGGGCAAGCAGAGATATTGGGAGGCAGGGAGAAGGGAAGCAAAACACTAGTTAAAAATTTTGCTTTTACTGGTGTTTTCAAGCCAACATACGTTTTAACTTCAGGGCATGAATTCTTTCCAAATTGTAAAAAATGTCATGGATCTTGGGCATGGTTTATGGGAGGGCAATTTCCTTTTCTTCTTTTCAGTTCTCTTGGTGGTGGTAGAGTGGGCAGGAGAGAGTATTGTTCCTTCTAATTCTGTTTTATCCTGTGACTGGATCCTCCTGTTTTTCCCTTTTGCACATAATCCAATCCCAGGCCCACCCCCAGAATCCTGGCCCCTTGTTTCTATGCTCCTTACCCCAGTCATTGCTCCCCATGCAACCTCTATCAAGAGCTCAGGGCCTCTTTTCCCCAGGTCAGTTTGGCACTCAGTTACCCTGGTTTTTGGCTTCTCAGACCAAGTGTTTTCTTTTGCCTCCATCAAGCCCATCCTGATTCTTTAACCAGGGCCTTTCTTTTTGGAATAGTCTCTTGTAGTCCAGGAACTTCTCCTTTTGGATTTTCCTGTGAGCTTTGGGATTTAAACAGAGGGTGGCAGAGATGGGGTGTGAGTTATGGTGCACAAATGGCCCCCCATCCTGTTTCCCCTTCTGGAGAACTATCAGGGGTTAGAGGTGGGAATCTGACATCTCATGGGCTGGTTGATCTTCTCCCACCTTTCAGTACCCTCTTATGTCCGTCTTTTCTCCTGGAAGGCGATTTCAGCTCGTCATGTCTTGGATCTACAAACCAGTGTTTCCCAACTTTTTCACTTTTAGGAAATATCATCGTTTTCCTTTACGCCTTAACACCTAGTATGAGTATGCAGAGCCCCCAGGCCCCAGACTCCTTCATTAGGCAAACATAGGGTGGAGGTGACAGACACTGGCCTCTGACTGGCACATCCGCGTGGGCTCGAGGCTCCTGGCGCAGTTCACGCAATCAGCTAAAGTGGAGGCGACAGGCCTCCCGTGCACTGCACACCACACACCGCACACAGCGGGCCTCAGTGGGCCTGCTCTTCTCCCACTCCTCCTCCAGGTCGGGGCTCTGGCCACTTTTGCGGAGGCTTCATGGCAGTGCCTGAGAGGACACAGAGCCCTCTCAGGGCACTGGCACTGCAGGATGTGTGTGTGTGAGGGGGGTGGATGGGGAGGGGTGCACGGGAGGCCTGGTCTAAAACCTGGCCATGCTCCCCACCAGGTCTTGTGGCTTCCAGCACGTTGACACTTAACCCTGAGCCTCAAACTAGTTAACTGTAAAATGGGGATGTTACCGCCCACTCTGCAGAGCTCTGGGGCTTGAAGGAGAAGCTGAGGGAGGGTTTGGCCCGTGGAGGCCTCTTAACAATACTTGGTGACCCCTTAACAGTTTTGGTTTAGGTCTTCGCCTCCATGCAACGGCCTGTGGGGTGCGCCTGGCCGTTTGTTTCTGTAGAACCCTGCACAATTCGTGGCTTCATGTAGAAACAAGTTAGTGAGCAAAGTCAGTCGGTAACCACAGGCCGCAGAGTTCCGGGCTGCTCCGTGCTCTGAAACATGGGGGAGGGGTTGATGTCAGGGGCGTGGGTCCTGATCACATGGCAGCCGCTGTTCTAGGGGAAGTCAGCTACCCAGCAGCCCTCAGTCCTCAGCTACCCACCCTCACCACCTGGGGTCCCATGGTGAGGGAGGTGAGTGGGTAACTGAGCTTTCTGCAGAGGGCCGGGCTGGAGGGATCTGGGGGAGTGAGTGGGGCTGGCTCCTGGTGGAATCCAGGCCTCAGACCTGATTGCTGCCGAAACTGGCCCTGTGCACTGGAGCCCCTGGTCTTCTGCGTCTCTTCTTCTCCTGGCCAGACTTTGTTCCTGGCTCAGCCACAGGTATTTGCTACTGAAGAGCTGTTCCTCCCTCCCCTCGGTGGGTCTGGGTCCACCTACACCTCGTCTTCAAGTCGCGCACCTTCCTCCCCTCTAAAACACCAACCAGGCGCAGACCGATTCTAGGCTTTTCCATGGTGCTATCGCCAAAGCTTGTGACTGAGTCCTTCCCGCCTAAGGCTAGTGGGCCTACCCTGTCCCTGCTGGCAGGTCTCTCTTTGCTTTCTTTACTCAGAACTAACGCTTTCATTCCCCACTCACAAAGGAAAAACAAGGGAAGAAGCCACAGCTGGCCCTGGCCTGCTTTGGCACAGGTGTTTCCCCCGGCCCCGCGTCGGGCACCCTAGTTCCTGTTCTGTCCCTGCCCCACGCGCCCCTGGGGCCCCCACTCAGGTTCCTCCACCTCCCATAGGTTGGGGTTGGGGGACCGGCTCCAACCCTTGGCCTGGGGTTTGGTGAACGCCTTTCCTGGACTGCGGACCCACTTAAGGCGCACCTCCCGGCTAGGGCAGCGGCGCTGGGGGGCCGAGGGCGGGGTCGGACGTCCACCCTCAGGGTTGCGCCAGGGGGCAGGGAAGCCGCCTCCCGAAGTTGGGGGCTCAGGAAAACTTGGGCCCTCGGAACTACGGCGTTGATTGAGAAAAGGCGGCCCAGGACGAGGGGGGCCAGCGAATGCCGTCCGGGAGAGCTGGGCGCAGAGGGACGGTCGGTCCCGCCCCTCAGTCCGCCCCGCCCAGCTTGCCGGGGAAGGGCCACGTTGCCCGCCCGGCCGTCCGGCCCCGGCGCGCCGCTGGAAGGGCCGGCGAAGCTGAAGGCGAGGCAGCCGCGGCAGCGCCTGGGACGCGCCTGGCCACCGGGCTCGCTCCCTGCGCCCCGGGGCGGGCCAAGTTCGGGGCAGGGACGTTGGGCGGACGTCGTGAGTAGGGGTCCGTAGGCGGAGGTCCGACCGGGGGAGGCCTCGCGGGTGCTGAGAGGGAGCCTCAAGGACGTCTGGTCGCCCGAAAGCCCCGGTGCCCGTGAGTGCTAGCGAGAGGGGACTTGGCTCGGGAGCGGCCCAACCTGGGCCGAGCCGGGAGGTTGGAACTCCGCGTTCTGCTTTCGGAATCCCGGGCGGCTCCAGCTGTTAGAGGGAGGACGGGCTCCACGGAGTGGGGAGGATGTTGTGAAACTCGGCCCAGGGCGTTTCCGTGGGTGTGGGGCAGGGAGCGGGTGGGATTGGGGAGTGGCTTTTTCCCCTAACCTTACCCCAACATCCTTTCCGCAAGTTAATAGAGGTCGATTCTCCTCAGCCGAAAAAAAATGTTGACTCAGTGTTGAAATACATATATAATAAATTGGCAAGAAAACTTTTCTTTCTACCTGTTTGCTAATGTGTGGAGTAAAGAGCCCTGGGACCTGCAGTGCCCGCATCTGATAAACTCTGGAGTAGAGGGACTGGCTGGCCGGCTCTTCCTCCCGCAGGGCTGAAGCTTCACTCTGGTTAACCCTTGCTGCTGTAGTAGGTCTACAGTTTGTTTTAGAACATCACTGGCTGAGATGTTATCCAGCTTTGTTTTCAGTCATTTATAATATTTTCCAGGCCATGTAGACTTTGCTCTTACATGCTCACATCATCTAGGGCTGCCTTCCTTCAGGAATCACTGCGTCCTGATCCTTCCCAATTGTGGGGACCATTGAGCTCACGCATACCTCTGCTTCTGTGTCTTATTCTCACAGTTAGAAGCACTGCAGTATGTCTTACCTCAGTGGACTGTGTAACAAGGTAAACTCGTTACTGTTTGAGGCATTAGAGAAATTGTCACTATCCCATCCAGGCACTGGGACCTTGTGATGAACCAAATCAACCCTGTCACATTATAGATGAAGGAACTAAGGCTCAGGTGAGTCAAGTGACTTGTCCAAAGTTGCCTGGCTGGTTGGCTGGATTGCCTGAATCCCAGGCCTCATAACTTTTGTGGCACTTGTATTTCCCTTTTGCCCTTTCTTTTCTGGGATAAATAACTTGCATCCCTTCCCTCCTAGGTCTTATTCTCTAAACCCTTGAATTATTTAGTGTATCTTCTTTGACTACCTTTCTGTTATTCTGTCCTGAAATTATGGGCCTGATACATGATACAGGAGTCCAGCCGAGGGCTAAGAATGAACAAGAAAGTAGTTCAGTTAGATTTCCATTATCTGTGACATGCCTGTATTTTTTGGATTTTTTAGGTTGTGCTTTTTAACGTTAAGCAAAGCAGAGATAGAAGGGAAAATCTGTTACCGTTTCTTCCACTTCTATACTTAATTTTAAAGCTAAATATAACTTTTTTCTTATTGCTCATGATTGGAAGTTGACTATTTGGTGTTCACTTGCTGTTTAAGAAACATTTTTGCCAGAGAAAGGAAATAGGCTGGAGAATACCGTGGAATCAGAGTATTAGAAAGGATCTCATGGGTCCTAGGCAGTCCTTCAAATGATTCAGAAACTGAGTGAGCCCAGTACAGGTAGGTAGGACCTGTCCAGAGCCACCTGGGTTTTGGCTGAAAGTTTTTGTACCAAAAAGACTCACTCCTCATCTCCCACCATGGTCCAGATGTCTTTGTACTTGGTGGTGTGGATTGGCTGTGTCACTTCTCTAAAGGAGTTGTGAAAACTCCAAAAAATCAAACCCAGTTTTGAGCCTGTGCCTTGCATGCCAGCCTCATAAATGACATTATTAGGAACTCAGGTCAGGATTAAGGACAGTTCTATTTAAAAAAGAAGGTGTAGCAGATTGTATTTTTCCCAAAGGTTCTCACCCATAAGTATCCCCTTCCACATGTAGTTACAGCTTGACATTGTCCACTTCCCACCCAGTGGCGGGGTTTGTGATTCCCTCCCCTTGAATGTGAGTAGGGACTTGTTGTTTCCTTGACCAGTGAGTTAAGACAAACCTTATCCAAGGCTGAATCAGGGAAAGGATACACCTTCACCTGGCTTGGTCGCTTTCTTGGGACACTCACCTTTGGAATGTAGTCACCACTTCTAGGACATTTCCAGGCCACATAGAGGGGTTCTAGCAAGCACTCCTGCCAATAATGCCAACATCATCCTACAGACGTGAGAGAATGTGAGACCCTCTAGGGGAGTCTAGCCCTCAGCCTTTGAGCCTTTCAGCAAGGTCTCAGGCATGGTAGAGCAGAGACAGGTCATCCCCTTGTGCTACACTGTCCAAATTTCTGACCAGTAGAAACCGTGACAGGGAGTAAATGATAACTATTGTTTTAAGCCACTAAATATTGAGGTAATTTATTATGCAGGAATAGACACCTAATAAGAAAGGGATGTGAGTGGAGACAGGGCCTCAGTATTTGGACTTGGAGCTGAGCACAGAAGGCAGGGAGGACACTTGCCCTGATTGTCAAGACTATCTAGATTCTGTTTTTCTCATTGTTGCAGGTGCTGGTGGCTGCATAATGAATCACCCCAGAACTTAGTGGCTTACAACAACAGACTCATTAACATCTCAGCTATGTGGTTCTTGCTTGTGGTCTTTCACATGGTTGCAGTCAGGTATGGATGGGGCTGGGATAATCTGGAAGGCCGTCTCCTATGTCTAGTGGTTGATGCTGGCTGTCAGCTGGGACCTTAGCTGGTGTTGTCAAGTGGAATACTTATAGGTGTCCTGTCCATGTAGCAGGGTTCTAGGAGTAGGCATCTTAAGAGGACCAGGTGGAAACTACTGCCTTTTATGAGTTAATCTCAAAAGTCACATAGTGTCACTTCTTCCCAGAACCAAAGGTAGGGAATATAGACCCTCACCTCTGGAGGCAGGAGTGTCCTTGTCACTTGTAAGAAGAGCATATGGAATGGGATATGTGCAATCGTCTTTGGAAAATATAACCTTTCACACTCTTAGTGCTGCTTTGGCCATCTTTCTTCCTGATTTAGGTAATAGTGCAAGCAGTCTTCCGTCTAGCCACTTGAACCTCATACATGTGCCAAGCACTGTGATGGGCACAGAGGTCATAGTCTTTTTTCCTAAGGAGGAAGGTGGGAGTCAGGTAAATATGGCCATATATCCTGTTACAGCGTGGAGAGAGTGCTGTGGGAGTGTAGCCTGCCTCTGTGATGTTACAAAAGGAGTCACCTGAAGTGGCTTGAAAGGATGTGAGAGTGGCTGGCAGGTGGTGCCATAGGTCTTGTTTCAGGATGAGGGACCAGCTGGAGCAAAGACACAGCAGTGTCCAAGTGTACTTATTGGGGGAAAAGCAGTCTACTGAGGCCAGAGTGCGGGGTTCATGGGGTTAGTGGTTGGAGGTAAGGTTGAAAAACGATATTTGAGCCAGTCTGTATGAAGGGCTTTGTATGTCATAATAATGAGCATTGCAGCCTCTGATGGTTTTTAAGGCAAGTTAGTGTTGTGACCATGCGCGCTTGTCAGGAGGGATGTGCTATTGCTGTTGGGTAGGTTTGTGAAAGGGAAGCAAGATTAGTGACAGACCTGCTGGGAAACTACATCAAGAGTCAGACTTAAAACAGTATTTCATACGAAGGAATGAGTTCAGGTTAAAGGGCTGGGGGGCTTGACATGGGATGCAGCGAATGAGTAACTTTGTACTCCCATTTTCATAGTTTTGAAGGTCTTGGGCCTAGATGTGTTTCAGAATTCAGAATTTTTTGGATTTTGAAAAGATGATCTGGTAAATTTACTCTGTAATGGAACATCAGAAGCAGAACAGCATAAGCCACCATGTTTATTTCTGTAGCAAAATGTATGAATAGCCACAGCATGAGAGATAAAAGACTATAAATAGCCTCACATTAGATCAGATCAGATTTTACCAAATGAGGTTGGGTGAGGTTTTACTGCCAATTGAGTTTAGAAAACTTCTGTTTTTTAGTGCTACTTGGATTTGGCAGTTGCAGTTGAGGAACTGTGGATGTTTTCAGATCCCAGGCACATCTGAATATTGAGGGCACTAGCACAGCAGCTTGGCAGTGCTGGTGGAGCCAATCCCTGTCTTCATGTAGCTTATAGCTGAGGGGGTCTGATAGAAGTTGAGCAAGTGGTTGCACTTGCTGCTGTTGGTGAAAGGTAGGTGGACCTTGCATGGTCCCAGACATCAAGGAAGATATCTTGGCAGAGACAAAAATCAGAGTGTGCCAGGTGAGAAGATAGAGAAGAGCAGACCTGGCACATGGGTACATGCAAAGACCCGGATGGTAGGGTTGGCTGTTTTGGGACCAGACGGGAATGTGGTAGAGTGGAACAAAGAGAATGGGGAGAAAGGAGTGAAGTGACTGGCTAATATTTACGTAGTCATGCTGGGCACTGTTCTAAACACCTAACATGGCTTATCTCATCCAGTCTTCACAGCAACCCAGTTTGAGTCTCAGAAATGTGACAAAATGTAGGGTAATGCCTCTGAGCTATCTGGCTTGCCTTTGTTGCTGTTGCACTCTCCTGATGGTGGCCTGAGCAGGCCTGAGCAGTGCTTTCTGGAGGAGCAGGTCACTGCTGCTGGCCAGGGTCTGGGCTTGATCATCCTTTGGGCACAGCCAGCTGGGAGAGGGTGTATGGCTTGTGGTTCATGTGTGTGCACACAGCACCAACTTCCAGGCAGAGCTGAGGATCCTGTCCTAAGAATTACATGAATAAACAGGAAAATAGCACTGGGGCCCAGGATGAGCCTATGTGAAGAAGCAGGTGAGCTGGGAATAGGGATGTCATGTAATCTTATGGCAAGAGGAGCAAGTTTGAAGCGCAGGGCTGTGGGGTGGAGAACAAGGGTCTGAGGACTAAGGTGGAGGTGGTGGCTGGACTGGGGCAGCTTTTCCTGTGGCCTCTCCACCCACTCTAGATGTGTGCAGACTTACTAAGTAAAAAATCAGTCAGAACATTGCTTTTATTAGGATGGTGCAGGAGGTCTTAAGCCTCAGGTAGTGGGTGTGGGCCACCAAATTCTAATGTGTAGAGAAGAGTAAAAAGTCATCTAAAGGGTGCAGAAGTCATATGAAGGGTCCCTGCCTTCTTTTTTTTTTAAGATGGAGTCTTGCTCTGTAATCCAGGCTGGAGGACAGTGGCACCATCTCAGCTCACTGCAGCCCCCGCCTCCTAGGTTCAAGGCATTCTCCTGTCGCAACCTCCCGAGTAGCTGGGATTACAGGCGCACACTACCACACCTGGCTAATTTTTGTATTTTTTGGTAGAGGGGGTTTTGCCATGTTGGCCGGCTCCTGACCTCATGTGATCTGCCTACTTCAGCCTCCCAAAGTGCTGGGATTACAAGCTTGAGCCACCTTGCCCAGCCTCCTAAGCCATACAGAGCAGCACTTCAGTGAGTAGCGTTCAGTCCCTCTTCTCTTTCCTCATCCAATTATATAAGTCTTTTTATTGCATAGTCATTTAGGAGGCAGGAATTTGGGAGGCAGGGAATCCTGGCCATGAGATTGGGGGTAAGTTCCAACATGGACAACATCCTGAGGGGACAGTGAAGAAAGAAACTGACAGTGCTGGGTGCAATGGCTCACACCTGTAATCCCAACACTTTGGGAGGCTGAGGAAGGTAGATCACTTGAGGTCAGGAGTTCGAGACCAGCCTGGCCAACATGGTGAAACTCCGTCTCTATTAAAAATACAAAAATTAGCTGGGCGTGGTGGCAGGCGCCTGTAATCCCAGCTACTCAGAAGGCTGAGGCAGGAGAGCTGCTTGAACCTGGGAGGCAGAGGTTGCAGTGACCTGAGATCATGCCACTGTACTCCAGCCTGGGTGACAGAGCAAGACTGTCACAAAAAAAGAAAAGAAAGAAAACTTAAACTCTTCTGTGCATCACTCTTTTCTTCCACATAAAATTTCTTAAAAATAAAATACGGGAATATGGCCCACCACTCTGAGTAGCTTCCTCCATCAGTATGTCCCCAGCTGGGCACAGCAGTAAGGCTAACTGAAATGATGTTTACCCTGAACTCCTTAGTTACTTGATGACATTTATCTATTGATACATAGCATATGAGCCCTGATAAAATACGAATTTAATTGCACAGTTACGTGGAAATGGACTTGAGGTTTCTGAGAAGACTGATGTCCTGGAATGGTGGGGGTGGTTGGTTTCTAGGAAGAAGACGAGTCGTGGTGGATGCTGGCAGGGGCTGGGTGAGTTTTCCCAGGAGGGAGACAGAATCGAGGCCCCTTGAGAAACCCTTCAGGATCAGCCCTTTTATGCCAGATCTGCTGGCTTGAGAGCCCAGGGCCTCAGATTAGATCTGAGGTCCAAGGTTTTGGCTAGGATTAGAGATTGGGCTGTGAGGCAGAGGGCAACTGGCAGAGCTGTTGGTGTAAGAGGGTACATGCCTGAAGCTTTGGGATTTGAAGGGTAGATCAGAAGCAGGACAGTCAAGGAGTTATGATCTGGAATGGCAGTTGACTGGGAACTGGGGAATGTTTCAGATCCTTTTAAGTTATGTGGTGGGGCCATGCCTTTTTCTCATTGGTCTGTGTCATGGTTCCTTTCCAGAGCCTGGCAGAGAGCAGGTATGTGATACATGTCATCAGGTGACTAACTGAAAAATTCAGAGCAAACAGATCATTTGAATTTGCCTTGCTGTTGTGGCCCAGACACCGATGGATGAAGCTATTCAGAACTGTGGGCAATGTCTGCATATTTGATTGTCAAGAAACTTGACAATCATGTGGAAATAGCTTCAAACTTATACAGGTTGCAAGAATAAAAAATAAAATAAGGGTGCTTGTACACACTCAGATGCACCTGTTCTTAATGTATTGCTCCATTGCTCTTTCTCTATGTATGCAGTATATTTTTGTTCTGATCCATTTGAAAAGTTGCATCTATCCTGGCTGTCTACCTCTAAATACTGCAGTGTGTATTACCTAAGAATTGGAGTCAGTCAGTTATCACTGATACTTTAAACTACTGTCTATATTCTAACTTTGTCATTTTACCCAATAATGTCTTTTTTTTAAAAGGTCTTTTGAGGTTTCCTTGACATACAATTGACATAAATATGTTAAGTAAACTGCACATAAAGTGTACAATTTGATAAGTTTTGACATATACATACTTGTACAAGTATCACCACAATTAAGATAATAAACATATCCACCCTTCCAGAAGTTTCCTAATGCCCCTTTGCAGTAACTACCCCACTGCCTTCTCTGCCTCTTTCCCCAGGCAAAAACTGATCTGCTTTCTGTAATATAGATTAGTTTCTATTTTCTGCAGTTATATATCAGTGGTATCATAGCGTATGTGCTCTTTTTGGTTTTTCCCAAAAAGACCCATATTGCGTAATTATTCGGAAATTCAGTCATGTGTTGTGTATGTCAGTGGTTTATTCAGTTTTATTGCTGAATATTATTCCATTCTATGAGTAAACCACAATTTGTTTATCTCCATTTCCCTATTGATGGGCCTTTGGGTTATTTCCAGTTTTGAGTAATTATGAATAAAGTTACTGTAAACTTAATTCCTGTATAGGTTTTTGTATGGACATCGCTTGAAAGTAGAACGGAAGTGGGGCATGCATAAAGGGACATGCAGGAGAGACTGGGCTTGGTTATAACAGCCTGTTATCCCTGGGGAACTAGCTCACTCACCAGAGGGCATTTTGAGGGATCTGCCCCCCACAACCCATCCAAACACCTACCAATAGGCCCCACCTCCAACACCACCACACTGGGGTTCAAATTTCAACATGCGTTTCAGAAGACAAACCATATTCAACTATAGCATAGCTATATAATTATTATAACACTATTAGTAAAACCATCTTTGCCTTGGGAATTTTCAGTAGCACCTTTATTACATATCAGATTTCTTTGTGTAATGAGTCTGTTTCTGGAGTTTAAATTCTATTTCATTGGATGGTCTGTTTATTTATGTACTAGTACCACACAGTTGTAATTATGGAGGTTTTGTAGTATGCAGTGTGTATATATGTGTGTGTGTGTGTGTGTGTGTGTGTATATATATATTTTATATATACATATATATATATATATATAATTATTTATTTACTTTTTTTTGAGACAGAGCCTCATTCTCTTGCCCAGGCTGGAGTGCAGTGGCACAGTCCAGTCACAGCTCACTGCAGCCTCAGCCTCCCAGACTTGGGTGATCCTGCCTCAGCCTCCCAAGCAGCCGGCACCACAGGTGCATGCCACCTGCCCAGCTAATTTGTTGTTGTTAATTATTACTTGTAGAGACAGGGTCTCCCTATGCTGCCTAGGCTAGTCTTGAACTCCTGGGCTCAAGTGATCCTCCTGCGTTGACCTCCCAAAGTGCTGGGATTGCAGGTGTGAGCTACTGTACCCCGCCAGTATGCAGTACGTTAATATCTGGTTGGGCTAAGTCCCTTCTCACAGCGTATTTTTATATTTTCCTAGTTTTATTGTCAGTTTGTCTAGCTTCATAAAAAGGTATTTTTATTGGTATTTTTGATGATGCCGAGATGTCTTGACCAAGTTACAAGGGATGTTCAAATGTTCTTTTGTGTCTTTTGGTAATGATAGCTTTGTTCATACAGGTTTTGAATGTTTATTTAAGTTTATTTCTAAATATTTTCTCATTTCTGTGGCTTTTGTAAGAAGGGTTTTCTCATCCATGTTTTCTCATGAGCTATTTGTGGATGTGAAGGTTATCCATTTGTGTATGTTGATTTTTATATTCCACTACCTTACTCAGTTCATTGATAGTTTGGTTTAGCTTTTTATTGATTCTAGAGTTTTCCAGGCAAATTCTCACAAGTAAAGATAATAGAAATAGTTTGCTTCTTGTCCACGTCTGCTGTTAATTGTTTTTTTCTTGGTTCATTTGCATTGGCTGCTCCTTCCAGCAGAATGTTAAATAAACCTGGAGATCATGGGCAGCTTCGTTTTGTGCCTGACATTCATGGGGTGCCTCCAATGCTTCCCTGTTAGGCAAGGGACTTAATTGTAGCACTGAGGTGTGATATTTGATTTTAAAAATCAGTAATCTTGGGGCAGTTAGGTGAGAGGAATTGTAGGCAGATGCTGTTACTCCTTGCTCCTCCCATCCTCCTTCCCACGTAGAGGGAAATGAAATCTGACAGGTAGAAAAAGGGGAGTTGGAGTTCTTTTTCTCTCTCCTTCCATCGGTATCACCTTCTACCTCCCCATCATACATATGTTCCTGAGTCAGCATATATGTTGACTACCTCTGGAGTCAAACTCCTGGCCTTCCTCCAGCCTCACTCTTGGCCTTTCCCTGCCCCCACATTCCTCTACCTGTGGGTATATAGAGCGGCATGCCTTTGTGTGATGGTTTGTTTTCTGTTTCCTGTCTTCAGGTGCATGGCTGCTTCCTAATCCCATAGTCCAGAGGAAGCATCCCTAGGACTGCGGGCAAGGGAGCTAGGCAAGCCCAGGGCAGCCTTGAGACCTCCCCTTGCCTGCCCTCCCCCGTGGGGGCCAGGATGCTGAAGAAGCAGTCTGCAGGGCTTGTGCTGTGGGGCGCTATCCTCTTTGTGGCATGGAATGCCCTGCTGCTCCTTTTCTTCTGGACACGCCCAGCACCTGGCAGGCCACCTTCAGTCAGTGCTCTCGATGACGACCCTGCCGGCCTCACCCGTGAAGTGATTCGCCTGGCCCAAGACGCTGAGGTGGAGTTGGAGCGGCAGCGTGGGCTGCTGCAGCAGATTGGGGATGCCCTGTGGAGTCAGCGGTGGAGGGTGCCCACAGCGGCCCCTCCCGCCCAGCCGCGTGTGCCTGTGACCCCAGCGCCAGCGGTGATTCCCATCCTAGTCATTGCCTGTGACCGCAGCACTGTCCGGCGCTGCCTGGACAAGCTGCTGCATTATCGGCCCTCAGCTGAGCTCTTCCCCATCATTGTTAGCCAGGACTGTGGGCATGAGGAGACAGCCCAGGCTATCGCCTCCTATGGCAGTGCGGTCACGCACATCCGGCAGCCTGACCTGAGCAACATCGCCGTGCCGCCTGACCACCGCAAGTTCCAGGGCTACTACAAGATCGCGCGGCACTACCGCTGGGCGCTGGGCCAGGTCTTCCACCAGTTCCACTTCCCCGCAGCTGTGGTGGTGGAGGATGACCTGGAGGTGGCACCGGACTTCTTTGAATACTTTCAGGCCACCTATCCACTGCTGAAGGCAGACCCCTCACTCTGGTGCGTTTCGGCCTGGAATGACAACGGCAAGGAGCAGATGGTGGACTCCAGCAAGCCTGAGCTGCTCTACCGCACTGACTTTTTTCCTGGCCTGGGCTGGTTGCTGTTGGCCGAGCTCTGGGCTGAGCTGGAGCCCAAGTGGCCCAAGGCCTTCTGGGATGACTGGATGCGCAGGCCGGAGCAGCGGAAGGGGCGGGCCTGCATACGCCCTGAAATCTCAAGAACGATGACCTTTGGCCGCAAGGGTGTGAGCCACGGGCAGTTCTTTGACCAGCACCTCAAGTTCATCAAGCTGAACCAGCAGTTTGTGCACTTTACCCAGCTGGACCTGTCGTACCTGCAGCGGGAGGCCTATGACCGGGATTTCCTTGCCCGCGTCTATGGGGCTCCCCAGCTGCAGGTGGAAAAAGTGAGGACCAACGATCGGAAGGAGCTTGGGGAGGTGCGGGTGCAGTATACGGGCAGGGACAGCTTCAAGGCCTTTGCCAAGGCTCTGGGTGTCATGGATGACCTCAAGTCAGGGGTTCCCAGGGCTGGCTACCGGGGTATCGTCACCTTCCAGTTCCGGGGCCGCCGTGTCCATCTGGCGCCCCCACAGACATGGGAGGGCTATGATCCTAGCTGGAATTAGCACCTGCCTGTCCTTCCTGGGCCCCTCTCTGTCACATCATGAGCCGAGGTGGAACCACAGTCCCCAGGCTGCATCTGCCTGCCTGTGTTTCCCTCTTAGGTGCATTTATGTTTTTGAGTTTTCTGAGTGGCATTTGAGTGCACAAATGATAAGGTGAGGATTATTCTCCCGTTCTCAAGGGAGTCAGATCAGGGGAACTATTCTGGGGTATGTTAGGGGGTATTAAGCAGGAAACCACTGTGTGGCAGGGGGACGCTGGGCTTGTTTGAACCAGAAATGTCCGTGTCCTGAGCTTTCTCCTGGAGCATGTGCAGAGTTTGACAGTGTTTGCTCTCTTGACCAGACACCTTCTCCCTGACTTGGCTCTTCTAGCCAAGGCATGAGTCCTCCTTCCATACCTGTTCCCCTTCCCCTATTGGGGACTGGGTTATGGGAGAAGGGGACATATTTGTGGCCAAAATGATACTAACCAAAGGGACTTCCTTGTCAGGGCCTGGTGGAGTTGGTGGGTCATCAGGGCTCATTGCCTCCTCCCCTTCTCTCCTGTCTCTGACCCCCACTTAGCCTTTCTCTCTGCAGTCTAGCAGTTTATGGTTCTGAGATGGAAAGTTGAAGGAGGCAAGCAAGACCTCGCCTCAGCCCATGCCCAGCTGTCAGGGGAGAGGTGCAGGGAGGAAGGCCTTGGAGCTGGGACAACCCCTCTCTTGCATTGCTTCAGAGGGGGACTGTGCCCTGACCCCTCCTTTCTGAAAATCAGTCCACTCCCTGTTGCTCTAGGAGGCTCCTGCTGGCTTGGTAGGAGAGACATTCAATCTGTGTATCCTTTTTTCCCTTGGGGTTTCACATACAGGCCCCTCCCTGCAGGCTGTGGCTCTTGTGGCTCTCTCAGCATGAGGTGGAGAGGCAGACCAAGTGAAGCAGTGACCAGGATGTTTCCGGCCCAGTGCTGCCCAGCCTCCCTACCCGTTCCCAGGCACCTCATGTCCTCACAGACCAGGAAACCATGGCAGGGTGGAGAGGACTTGGTGTGTTTTCGTTTCTTGCTTGACCTCAGTTTCATGAAAGAAAGTGGAAGCTACAGAATTATTTTCTAAAATAAAGTAAAGGCTGAATTGTCTGAAAAATATTTATGTGTGTGTGTCCTGGAAAAGGAGGTGATAGGAGGGGAAAGAAACGAAAAGGGAGAGTGAAGAGTTAAGGAGAGGGCTAGACGGAGGAAGTGAAGTTCAGGAAGGAAAGCAGATGACTGGGAGAGAAGAGCCAGGGACAGCTGAGGGGATGGGGGCCAGGCGGGAAAGGAAGTCCAGGCCAGAAGATGGAAAGGGCCCCCAGACTGTGCTCCTGCTGATCATCCTGTAGAGCCAGGAGGCGCAGCAGGAAGGCTGGTAAGTGTCTCCTGCTTCTGCCTCCTGCTGGTTGGGCAGGTCTAGTCTGGGGAAGAACCAGGCCCTCTCTTCAGGGTGGTCCCTGAGTGATGCTTTGTGCCTGATACTCTCTGCTGGCCCAGGCAGTGCTTACTGAGCACCCTTTATGACCTGCCGGAGAGCCTCAGGGTGTGCAGCTTATACCAGGGTTGGTCCCACAGTGGCACTTGGACTCCCAAATGCAACCCCAGTGAGAGTGCCTGTTGTGCTAATACCCAGAACACATACATACACAGACACAACTGTTAGCTCTGCACTTCACATGCAACATTCTGAGTTTCTGTTCTCCACTAATTCATTTAAAAGAGCAAGACGCAGCTGAGCACGGTGGTTCACACCTGTAATCCACAAGTGTAAGCACTTGTGGAGGCCAAGGCAGGCAGATCATGAGGTCAGGAGTTCGAGACTAGCCTGGCCAACACAGTGAAACCCTGTCTTTACTAAAAATAGAAAAGGTAGCTGGGTGTGGTGGCATGCATCTGTAGTCCCAGCTACTCCAGAGGCTGAGACAGGAGGTTGCAGTGAGTCAAGATCACACCTCTGCAGTCCAGCCTGGGGTGGACAAGACTCCGTCTCTGAAAAACAAAAACAAAATGCTTCTTGTGACCCACCAACTTGATTTCATGAGTGGGTTTGAAAACCCTGGGCTAGGCCGGGAGGCGGAGGTTGCAGTGAGTCAAGATCTCTGCAGTCCAGCCTGAGGTGGACCAGACTCCATCTTGGAAAAACAACAAAATGCTTCTTGTGACCCATCAATTTGATTTCATAAGTGGGTTTGAAAACCCTGGGCTAGGCTGGGTGCAGTGGTTTACGCCTGTAATCCCAGCACTTTGGGAGGCTGATCACCTAAGGTCAGAAGTTTGAGACCTGCCTGGCTAAGGTGGTGAAACCCATCTCTAAAAATACAAAAAAGGTGTGGTGGTGCATGCCTGTAATCCCAGCTACTCAGAAGGCTGAGGCAGAATCACTTGAACATGGAAGCGGGAGGTTGCAGTGAGCTGAGATCATGCCACTGCACTCTAGCCTGGGTGACCAGCGAAACTCCATCTCAAAAAAAGGAAAAAAAAAAAAACAAAAAACCTGTGCTAGGCAACTTTTTTGGCAGAAACTACTTTGGAGCTCCACACCAGATGGTGGCAGAGGTGTCTAGGGAGATGTGTTAAGGGCCATGGCCCTGGGAACAGCTCCAGCCTCCATTCTGGGCTCAGAAACCAGTGTCAGACATTCACTTTATTTTAACCTTTGAGATTTGTGTGGAGTGGGTTTTGCTTTCCCCTGTTGCTTAGATGGATTATTTACCCTTACTTTTTTGTTAAATAAGGGGAGATGGTCATTATCCGTGATTTGCAGATGAGGAATAGGCCAGGAGATAGCTGCATTGTGCCCTTCCCAGTGAAGCCAGGAGGAGTTTGGCTGCCAGCCTCCATGTCCTTAGCACTTATGCAGCCATCCAAGTCTGCTCTTCTGAGTGCTCCATGATGAATACGAACTTCTTTAATCCTCAGAGCAAGCCCAGGTGGTGAGTACTGTTTTGCTCCCGTTTTACCAGTGAGGAAGCAGGCACATAGAGGTTAACCTGTGGTAATACCCAGATTATTAGCATACAGATGGTTGGGGCAGAGCCAGATTGGAATGGACTCCATGCTGTTAGCCACCATGCGATGCTGGATTGTTCCATCCTAGCCCTTATAGGCCTCCTCTAGGCCTCTTCCCAGCTGCACGTGGATTCTCAGGCCAGGCTTCAGTGGTCTGTGAGGGTGGTGAGGGGGGGGCGCTGGGTGACGGGGAGGTCCAGGAGAGATGTGGGAGGAGTAGAGCTTGGGGCCCTTGGGGCCAGAGGACACCCTTACAAGACAGAGACTGAGTTCTCAGGCTCCTCAGGGGTCTCCTGGTATTCACCTGTCAAGGCTTGCTCAGGTGGTGTGCATGTGTGCATAGCTACTGCCTCTGGACCCCGAAGCTCCTGTGGCTACCAGAGCAAATGGAAATCCCAGGTGGAAAAGCCCCATGTTATTCAATGCTGTAGAGTTCAGCCAGCCTCGAGTTTGGAGGTTTACAGAGTTGCCTTGCGCCTGGCTGCTACTGCTGCATTCCTGCTTCTGCCTACAGCTGTGACTACCTCCTGCCACTCCTGCTCTCAATGTGAGTTCCTGCTTGCTCTGTCTCCAGGAAGGACTGCTTTCCCGGCAGCCTTCCCTCCTGAAGCCTCTTGGCCTTTGAAATCCTCTTATCTGGGTCACTGGTGGGATCTCATTTGTGGATTGAGTCACCCCCAGTGTAGACAAATGTCTGGTGTAGTCTCTGGCCAGGCCCTCCTGAGCCTTCACTGGGCCCTGCATCAGAACCCTGCCAAGGCTGAGGGGCAAGGGAAACTGAGAAAAGCCCTCAGGGCAGGCTGGGAAGGTGGGAGGTAGAGGGCATTTAGAGGGTTAAATACAGAGCACCCCTTTAAAAATACCAGCTACGGTTTTTCTGTATTACATGTTCATTTTAGACAATCAAAACATACTGCTCACGCTCCCTCATGTGTGTTTACGCATGGGTGGCATAGCCTACCAGACGTATTCCTCACATCTATACATAATATGCATAAATAGATAAAACATTTATCACTAAACCCATTGAGTTATGTAAATATTTGTCTAGCTTATATAACTTTAACATATGAATTTATATAACATAAGCTTGCCCTCTTTCTGAAATATCTTTTAACAAAGATGGGATTTCAGGCTCCCTGATGGGACCTTTGTAGAGGTCAGTGTTTTGCCACCAGCGATCTTTCAACCTCCATCTGTTCTCCCACCCAGCCACATTCTGGCCTCTGGCAAGTCACAGGGAGTTTACACCAGGAAGTAAATGCCAGGGCCATATCTGCTGGAGACCAGCATGGTGGCCAATGTCATAGAGTGGGGTGGTCCTGGGCCGAACTTGGTCTGGGCCCATGACCTGTATGTCTGACTTGGGTCCAGCTGTTCTTCCTGACAGAGCCTCTTCCTGTGAGGTGGGGTAACACAACCTTCTGGGGTGGCTGTGGGGTTCATCAATGTGGCTGCACTGTGAGCAAAGTCTGGTGGAAATCTCTTGTCTCCGCTGCTTTTCTTTTCCTGCTGTTCACCTTGGCTCTCCTGACACCTTAATCCCCCTTTGCATGTGTCTGGAGCGAGCAGAGCAGGGGAGTTGGTAGGAGGCTGGGCAGTGCCAAGGCTGTTACTTTCCCCCGCTGCCTCCCTTGGCTAACTTGAAGCCTGGGTCTTTATACTAGAACTTTAAGACAGTGTGTCAGAATGGATTCAGCCGCAGAGAGCAGGAAGCCTGGATCCCAGTGCCTGATGGAATGAGAGGTCAATGGTGCAGGGCTGGCGTGGTGGTTCCCCCACCATCAGGGCCCAGATTCCTTCTTAGATCTCAGTCTCACTCTAAGCACGAGGCTTCCATGCTAGGTGTCATTTCTTGGCTGTGGGAGCTCCAGCCAGCACACATTTTAGGTAGGAAGGAGGAAGGAAGAAAGTAAAGGGTGGATGGCAGCTGCCTACTCCTCTCCTGAAAGCCCACAGGCAGCGTGGGGTCACAGCTCCCTGGGTAGAACTGGATCACACAGGCACACCTGTCAGCAAAAGATTCTGGAAAAAGTATTTTTAAAGCTGAATCTAATAAGATTCCTGTTACTAAGGAAGAAGGGAGTGATTGTATGGGCAACTACAGGGACCACTCTATACACGGCGCCTGGAAGACTAAATTTGTGACAGCGACAAGGGATTTGAGAGGGCAGGGTGATGAGGGGCTTTGGGGGAGTGCATTAGGAACCCTGACCTGGAGAGGGGCAGAATCAAACCTGCAAGTCCCTAACCCTAGTGGGTTGAGAAACCTGTCCCACTGGGCCAGGAGGCTGAGCCTTCTCAGGGTCACACATGAAAACTGAAATTCCTAAAGGCCACACACAGCCCCAGAAGTGCTGATTGACAAGGGCAGATGGCCAGCGATCCAATCTTCTCTTTTGTCTTCACTTGTGTTGTTCTGCCATCTTGAACACGTGGCTCCTACCTCACAGCAAATGCTGCCCTGGTTCTAGCCACCAGGAAGCAGGAGAGGGGAAGGGAGGGCAAGCGTCATTCTTTATAGAATAAAAGCAGTGTGCACACTTACTGGAGTGTGGTCTAGTTGTCACTGCAGAAGGTGGGATGGACCCTCAGTGCAGCAGCCCTGGACCAAGCCAAATGCCTCAGCATAGCTGTAAGAAGAGGAAGATGGCTGGAGACAGGCAGCCTTCCCTGCATGGGCAATGTGGCAAGTCTGTCAAAAGCCTCCTTTGGAAATACTATTTGCTTACTTTTCAAGGTTTCTATTTAGGAAAAGGGCAAAACCTTTCAGGATCAAGAGTAGGTGAGTGGCGATCAGGCCTCACCCCTCACTGAGGGCCTTCCCTGAGGAGCCACCTGTAGGACGCTGGCAGCAGAATGGGCTGTGTGGCTGCTAGCTTAGGTCACGGCAGGGAAACAGCCTCTTCCTGGTTTGAAAGAATAAGCACACTTGGGGCCTTGAGCTCCAGGGAGCTCATGGAAGATGTCTGACTACCCTGAGCCCCTTCCTGGAGAGTCCTGGGGAGTAGCTCACAGCCAGCGTCACCCACAGGGGCTGTGAAGACGTCCATGGCCAGCATCTAACACAACCACATAGGATGCCCCAAGCAATTACTGCCCAGCTG